CCAGCAACATCCCGGCCAAGTTGACCCTCGTTACCAGCAACACCCAGGGAAAGTTGACCAACAATTCCAGCAACATCCCGGCCAAGTTGACCCTCGTTACCAGCAACACCCAGGGAAAGTTGACCAACAATTCCAGCAACATCCCGGCCAAGTTGACCCTCGTTACCAGCAACACCCAGGGCAAGTTGACCAACAATTCCAGCAACATCCCGGCCAAGTTGACCCTCGTTACCAGCAACACCCAGGGCAAGTTGACCAACAATACCAGCAACACCCAAGTCAAGTTGACCCTCAATATCACCAAGGACAACTAGATCAAGACCAGCAGGTATATATATACGTAAAGCACGAGTGTTAGTTGCATGTGTGCAGCATGCCGCAGAAGTGACGTGTTATTATTGTTTGTGAGCGATGTTAGAAAAATGGGGAGAAACTGAACGTTGTATGTTTGCCGTGATGTACAGAGACACCAGGGCTCCCAGCAGCCACACCAACAGCAACAACAGCAACAACAGCAGCAGGTAGCACAGGGGCAGCAGCAACAGCACCAGCTACCACAACAGCACCAGCAACAACAGCCGGCAGCACAGCAGCAACAGCAGCAGAAGGTATGATTTATGTGCTGCATTATTTGCTACATTACAAGCTACACATGTATTTCATGCGGTCATCGATGTAAATCCATTAATAAATGTATAGTAGAACTTTCCTTATTACCCAATGCAACTTTTGCCTTGACAGATACTCTTATGACTGTAATTATCGTGAGACTAGCATCACAACTGCGCAGAAATCCCTATGTGGCATGTATTCGTAATGTAATTGCGCATATTTGTTACAATATTACTTAAAGCTCCAAGAGGCACAGCAGCAGCAACAGCATCAGCAGCAACAACAGCAGCAGCAGCAGCATCAGCAGCAACAAAAGCAGCAGCAGCAGCAGCAGGCGGCGGCTCAAGCTGGTACCCAGCAAGGAGGTCAAACTAGGCAGCAGCCAGCTCAGGCTCAAGATCAGGGCACTCCGCAGCGAGTGGTTCCCGCGGTCCCTCAGCAGCAGCAGCAGCAGCAGCAGCAGCCGAAGCCGAATCAAGCTGGTACCCAGCAAGGAGGTCAAGCTAGGCAGCAGCCAGCTCAGGCTCAGGGTCAGGGCACCGCGCAGCGAGTGGTTCCCGCGGTCCCTCAGCAGCAGCAGCCGAAGCCGAATCAAGTGTGATAGGGAGGCGTAGCATCGCGGCGAACGTCGAACGATACTTGCCAACGGACGCGCGCGGGGGAAATTCCTTCTCGTGTTGTCGTTATCAGCTGTAAATTTTCTTTATTCACTGTCTCTCTCTTTCGGTGCTTCCACTGTGAGCTTCATCTAACGTCGGTGGTGATCTGTTGTGGGTTGGGATAGTCGACTAACAAATCCCCGTTACACGAGGGGTGAGAGGTGGGGCGTGTGCCTGCACATGCGTGCACGCATATGTACGTGTGCCTGCGTCTGTGCACTCATGTGTAAGGGCGAGTGCACGTGTGCCTGCGTCTGTGCACTCATGCATGCATTTTAATGTGAGGCGAAAACAAATCTCAACAGCAGTCTAGCTTCTTGCGTAGTTTAACCTGTCAGCATGAAGCGCAAGGAGGCCGAATCGCACGGAGACTGGTGACGTCACGAAAATACGTGCACCGTGTAGCGAGAGTGGCTGCGAGTCGGATGTGGTTTACCGACGTTGTTTATCGAATGCAGTTTTGTGTTCTTTTCGATTTGCGAAGTAAATAAATGGAACTTTTTTTTTATTGACCACCAAGTCGTGCCAGACGAACGGGTGGTGAGTGTGAGGTAGGTCGAGCGTATTAGTGCATCAAAATGACTGCGCAGTTTCCCCTTATTTTTCTATGTAGATTTTATTTATAACGATGAGAGAGTGTCTTGAACTGTGTCAAGCTTAGAGGGGGGGTATGCCAAACGGGCAGTCGTGGTGGTTGGGTGATATGATGGGGGAATTAACTGGTTGCAATTTGCATTTACGTATCGTGCAATAGAATGTAGATCATCTAGAAACTTCAGACCTTGTTAGTTTCGATTTTATAACTCCAGAACTCATGTTGCAATTATGTCGTCTGTACGTGTGCACTATAAATTGATGGTGCTTTTAAATTTCGTTCTATCATTCCTCCAGTTCTTTTAAACCTGAACAGAACAGTGATCACTGGATGCGAATTTCAAAGGTAATAGCGCTGTCGGAAAGTTAGTACCATGGTTCCTTGTAGTTTAGATTTCCTCGAACAATGTTAAACTGTGTGGCAAGTGACTTAGGTTTGGTTGTAGGAGTGGCTTATTTGATCATGTGTTAGTGGTTGGAATAAAGGAATTGTTGAACTACGACACTTGTACATGTTTTTATATGTGTTCCTCCACACTCACTCACACACACTCACTTTCACCACGTGAATGCTTATACGATACGTCCATGATACTTAAAAACAGAGAACACCAGCTGGTAAATTAAAACAAAACAATTTAATCTTTCTTAAGGCTGATCTACCACAGCCAGGGGGTGCTAGTACAACGTGTCTACGAATCGCACCACACACACACCCACTACAGCTGCTGTATAATTTCTTGCGCGTAACTTGTTAAGAGACCGGGTATTTTCTACGAGTAGCAGTATTGCAGAGAAGCAGACGCCCAATTAACATACAGTTAACGAGTTTTCCATCGTTAACTCGTGCGAATTCCGACGAAGTGGGCTTCGTCTGACCGAACCGAACTGACGTTTGATTACGCTTTTGCTTTCAAACCACGACGAGCGAATCCATTTTATGACCACCCGCCACCTTGTGCAAACGACATGCCCCGTGAGTGCTACCCTCTCCTGACCATCCCTTCCACAACAGCACTGAATAAGCGCGGCATACTGGCGGCTGCTTCGGTCCGGGTGAGCCCAACGTTTAAGACACGGCCGCGCGGCGAAAACTGACGGCGCTGCGCGGGACGCTACCCGACGACGCTCGCTTGTTTCTCGCCCCGCATCGCGACAAAAACAAGCGAACGTCGTCGGGAAGCCTCCCCCGGGAATCGCCGCCCCGACTCGCGGAGCGGGGGGGTAGAGGGCGCCGCCGACGACTTTAGACGGGCGCCGGCTGGATGGGGGGCGTCGGGACGACGGGGAATTCTCCGAGCTCCTGCTCGTAGTAGGCGAGGCGGTCGAACTGGTGCATCTCGAACGGCGCGCGGTCCTCGAACTTCGTGAGCGTCACGCCGAGGTCCTCGACGGTCGGGTGCGCTGACGTCACCGCGTCCGTCACACACTCCTACAAACACATGTACGTATGTACATAGACATACATAATACATACACAGGTATAGACGCATGCGGCTATAGTGAGTCATAAAGGACGGTCGGGAGCGCTGACGTCACCGCGTCCGTCACACACTCCTGCAAACACATGTACATATGTACATAGACATACATAATACATACACAGGTATAGACGCATGCGGCTATAGTGAGTCATAAAGGACGGTCGGGAGCGCCGACGTCACCGCGTCCGTCACACACTCCTGCAAACACATGTACACGCGTATGTACATAGACATACATAA